ATCAATGTGGGATGTGTCTCACCATAGTCGACTAATATGTTATACAGGACTGGTACGGTAAAGGGGATGAGACTCTCATCTTGCAGACGATGTACGATGGCAACCAGATGATTGCCCTCGACTACCCGTCCTCGATTTACGTCCGTATCAGCACAAGAGTTGCCAACAATCCGTAGAGCGTGCAAGTGAAGCGTTGGGCTGATTCCATCGAGAGCAACAAATCTAATGAAGAACTCAAGGATCCCTGATTCCCCAAAAGGTACCCGCCATGCCACTGCGACACTATGTTAGTAGGGGTTTATGGGAAGTAAGCAAATCGGGAGATGAAATTTCGGTACTCACCATCTCGACTGCCATCACCGATTTTCTCCGCGAGGAGGTCGATCACGGTCAAGCTCGAATCCCAGGCAAGCTGGCATGTAGCCAAAACAGGGGCCAGGAGCTGCGTCCTTCGCTGCACAGCAGCTTCCGAGTCTGAGGTTTCACCAGGATACCCCTCGCTACCCTCTCTCTTCAGGAGAAGGGCGATATCATCTGGGGTTAACATAGCCATCGTTGGTGACGTTGTTGTGGTGCTGAGAGAAGGATTATACGAAATGGCGGGGCAGTGTTTAGTAGATGGTAAATCCGAAAGGCCCAATCACATATCGCGAGATGGGACCGCCTTCTTTCCCTTCTCTCTCTTACTTGAAATACAAATTGCCAATTATTTCGCTGAATAAGAGGGGATTCTAGTTCTCCAAGCAAGCGAATCCTAACAATGGATTACAGCAGGTAGATCGTTGTGATCTTACATGTGGACTAGGTCCATCTCAGACCCCACCCCCTCTGTGACTCGTTGGTGGCTTAGATTGATCATTATACCAAGAAATTGTAGAGAGGAAAAATCCCATAACTAATAAAGTACCTAAAAACAACCAACTTTCAATTAGAGGTCAACTGTATCAATCTTCCATGGTGGCTATGGATCAAAAGCACAACCTGGGAACTCTTTTCTTCCTCGGGATTGAGGTTGTTATGCTGTGTATAGGGTAGCCGGCACTAAATGACAATACTATCTGTCAGATCTGATATACAGATGTCACTTCTCTGGATGGGCATCAGTGCATGAGAGAAAACTTGAGATCTAACCTGCAAAGGTCTAATTATCTAATTGACCATTTCTAGCCTAAGATTAAAGTGATATGGCCTAAGGTTCCTTTCTCGGCTCGATGGACATGAAGTAGTGGCTGCAAAGCCGGCAAAACATCGGAACATTGGCAAATTCACTTTTTTGCGCCTGGGTTCCCGATTCTCGGCAACATCCGCCGATCTCCGTGTAAAAATCGACCGTTTGCCTTCTCAAGGCTTCCACCGTCAAAGCGATCGCGCATCCCAGCAGCGAGCCCAGTCGCTCCCACGCACTTCCTGCCTTCGGCCAACGACGAAGCCTTGTGCTTGTTCTGATCGTGCTGTATTATATCCGACACAATGGTAAGCCTGCCCCCCTCAAGCTTCCGTTAGATTCCTTTCGTCCATCTTCCTTCCGAGCTGGTTTGCGGCGCATAACCCTCGGCTTGATGTGGCGGTGGAAATGGAAATCCTTGGACCATTGAAGGTTTTCATATTCAACGACGCTTACACCATCACTCCCCAGGCGCACAAATTCGTCATCACAGCCTTCCTCACAGGCTCACGGATCCTAGGCCGCTCCTTCGTCGCCGCCTACCGCCAGGCCCAGGCCTCCACCGCATACCAGCGTGCCCAGGCCAAGAACGGCAACGCCGCGGGCGGCCGCGCCCTCGCCGGGAGCATGACCCTCGACGAGGCCTGCCGCATCCTCAACGTCAAGCCCCCCGCGGGGGGGCAGGCTAACATGGAGGAGGTCGTCGAGCGCTACAAGCGCCTCTTCGACGCCAACGAGCCGCAGAAGGGCGGCAGCTTCTACCTCCAGAGCAAGATCGTCCGTGCCAAGGAACGGTTCGAGGCTGAGCTGGGTCCCATAAGAGAGAAGCTGGAAGCGGAGGCGGAGATTAAAGAAGGGTTCAAGCCAAAGGTTTACAAGGACCGGTAGGCGATGGACCGGAGGGGAAAGCAGCATGCCTGAAACGACTCACCGAAGAAAAATTTAACGACTTCTCGGGTACACCCCCCTTGTTCCGGCTATGAACCTGGTTGACAAAGCCCATCCAGGCGCTGGTGGGGTTGACCTGAGGCGCGGAAACGAAAATCTATTGGGAGGGAAACTACCCCTCCCATGTATTACATGTACATCTTCTCTCTACTGCAGCATGGCACGGCGTTTCTGGACTGATAGATAATAAGGGCTCGCAGAGTCCATGACCGGTGGCTGGGCTAGACGAAACCAGAAAAAAAGGCCTTTTTTTAGTACTATATAGTGTAAATGTATATTTGTTCACTATACACTCTGTCTATAACAGTGTCTGGTTTTCGAGTGATGATAGAGTGCCTTGCTGTCCAAGGAAATGCCGTGAGGCTCTATAGTTTTTTCCTGAGCAGTCCCTTCCAGTAGTCAAAACTGTTTTCGTCGCTCTGCAGCGCCCAGAGTTTCCCGGTGCCTCTCCCGTGCATGTCGATTTCTTCGACACGGAGCATCCCCCAATCCCTCGTGATGCCGAGGACTCTGGCTCTGACGCCGCCTTCCGCCTCCAGGGTCACTTCTTGCCCAGTATGCAGCCAGTGTTTGTAGTAGCGCTTCTCAAGGTCAGCTGAGAAGCCCTGGCGAAGGAACTGGGCATGAAGGGACTCGAAAGTGGTCAAGAAGCGTGCCAGTAGCGTCTCGATACGCAGAGGTGCGACGCCCGGGGGGAGGAGATCCGAAAGAGATATCGTGGGTTTCCGATTGGTGGCGTTGACACCGACGCCCAGGACGGTCTGATAGTTACCGTTGAAATAGGCACATTGTGACAAGATACCGCCGATTTTGGTATAAGTCGGTTTGTTTTTGGGCGAGGCTGGATCGAGGGCATCTATATGAAGGGGAATAAGTGCATGCCTCAACCGATACCGTTTCGTAGGCAGAACGTACATATGTCATTTGGCCACTTTAGTTTAACGGGCATTGCTTCGTAGCCCTCATCGTAGGATTGGATGGCTTCCACAGTCGCAATCGCGGCAAGATATTGGAAAAATACAATGGGATGGGACATTGACAAATGGCCTGGGTGATTGATGATTGTTGAGAAGATGAGACAGCCCGGTGGTGCAATGAAGACATTTGTTCCGCGCCCACGTGCGGCAACTTGGGTCGTAGCAGCGACGGTGAAGCCGGTGGGAAGCTGCTCTAGCAACTTGGGATTCCTGCTCTGTTGTTAGCAGCTTGAATCAAGGGTGACTGGGACATGTTCGTACTTCTCCACGATAGTGTTCGTGCTGGTCACAACCTCGCCGTACATCAGAATGCTTCCCCAGCCCTCTGGCTTGCCTTCAAGCAATTGGTACTTCTTCAGGCTGGAATAATATAACTTGTGGTCGAACTGAGGCGTTTCGCCTACGGAAGGCAATGCATTCTCGTGACAGACAAGCTCTTTGGTGACTGTACTGTAATCCACAAAATGATTGCCATCAGTGGTAGGAAGTGAGGATTTTAGTTCACTCATGTCGAGGGACGTCTCGTCACTTCGGATCCTGAAGGTGTCGACCTCGCCCCTGATAAACTCCTGGCCATCTTCATTCTCAATGATGGAGTTCCAAGAACTGAGAAGCTCCGAGACCTCGGAGTTGTTGATCGAGGTGAGGTGTAAGCTGGACAAGGCAGGCAGTCCCCCGCCCCCTTGGACAGGTTCAAGGCCTAATTTCGTGAAGAGCCCACGAAGCAAGGACATCCTAGCAGCATCAGCAGCCCCGATACTCTCAATGAGTTTATCGTAGTTGGGTACATTGGGATGCGGGTTCAGATTTGCCGGAGAAAACCTGTCGAGGAAGAATGAGCATGAAGTTAGATATCTTGATAGGCATTAGCGAGACTTACTCAGGGTGAGGGCCGCTCAAGACGACTCTGCCATTACCGAATTTCGAGAAAATAATAGCTGCCTTTCCATCACCTCCATCGACATCGATATCTTCATCGTAGGAAGCCAGAACCTCAACCTTGTTGCCAGCGACCGTCTTTGCGTCAACAAAGACTCCACCTCCGTTGAAGTACGATACGACCTGGTCAGGCACGTCGCCTCCGAGGAGTTGCGGTTCAGTCTTGAGCTTGACTGCCCGCGCGCCGCCTTCTCCACGATACTCAAAGCCCTTGAAAGCACCGCCTCGGCACGTGCCCGGGAAGAAGCCAAGCTCGCGGCTCCCAATCACCTCCATCCCCTTGTTCCCAACCTCAAACTCGCATCTGCGGCAGCCGTAATAAGATCCGGCACAGAAGCCCAGGAACGAGCCCCCTTGGCGGACATAATCGCTGATGTGCCGGTTGCCCTCGCCGTTCAGGACCCGACAGTAGCCGAGGTCGGCACCGCCAGGTATCACCAGCAGGGCGCAGGTGGGAGCCCACGGCTCTTTGAGAATGACGGATTCATTGATGGGGATGACTGCATAATTGGGCGATAGGAGCTGGCGCAAGGTGAAGATGCAATGCCTGACAGATTCGGAGGTGGTCCCGGTACCTTTGAACGAATGAGATGAGGGGTTCCGTGAGAATCAGTAGTTTTGGAGGGGATATTGACCTGTGTACACAAGGACATTGAGTTTCCTTGTTGTCATGTTGGAATTATACCTCCAAGATGCAAAAAGGGATCAACAATTGGCTAAGTATAAAACGAAATGGAAAAATATGTTGTAATAAGGAGAGAGTGTAGAATGGCGGAGAGAAAAAGAAAGTATGAAATTTGGGCTCTATCACTGGGACTTTGATATGCTCAGTGGTATATTAGCTTGGTACGAAAATATACCGAGTGTTAGGTGATTATGAGACCACCTGTTCTTGCAAAAATTCAATCCTATTGTCTCAGCCCACTCGACGAAACAGAAGCAGGCCGCATTATTGCCAACCGGCCTCAAAGATGTCTACCAAGGAAGAAACAAGGAAGGAGGATGCGACGCAAGTTGAAGACGATGATGAACCAGATGAGTGGTGAGTTTTGTTGAGGCCAGGCGCTACCTGAGCCGATGCTCCGAGGTTGTTGGCATCTTGTAGACGCTGACACGGCTGCCCACCAGGGACAAGCGAATCTTTAGCACAGGATGTGCAGGTGAGTTTTCCTTTACATGTTGCGTGCCCATATCTACGCCTCTCGAATTGCTTGCATTGCTGCTGCGTGCGGGCGTCTTCTGTCTCTTTGGCCCTGTTGGCCCTGTATCCATTCGCTGGCGGTGTACAACATCAGCTAACGACAACGAATGCCGTGTAGATGAAAACGCCAAAATGACAGACTGCTACTTTGAGAAAAAAGACTGGAGAGCATGTACCGAAGAGGTCAGTCCTACTTACTATGCAATCTATACCCTATCTCTCGCCGCATGCTCACATCAATAGATAGATGGCCCAATTCAGAGAGTGTTGGAAGAGCCATGGCAACAATGAACGAACAGGCACTAAAGATGCCTAGTGCAAGCCTCACACATCACGGATAGAGAGACAGATCCCTCTTTCCTATTATTGTATATTATTGTAAACATCCTTCAACCCTGTACCAATTCCAGTCACTTCTTTCAATTTTCAAGATACAATTAGCGAAGGTTGCATTAAGCTGAAGGTAAATGGCGGCTTGCACCACCTTCTAGCTCCCCTCGAACCAATCAAGGGACAGTCTCCACTTATGACGGCAGCTCGATCCAGTGCAAGAAAAAATATTGAGGTTGCACCAACATCCAACCTCAGAATCCCGACTTACATCTTTCACTTGTACCATCTTCCCCCAATTCGCCCCATTGCAACCTCAGTGTAGGCGGTGATGTTTTCCCTTCGCAGAACGCTGCACGCCCTCCCGAGGCAGGCAGCTGGGCCTGCCTTCATCCCTCGGCCAGCCACCCGCCTAATAAGCGGTTTCTCCTCCAGTAATTCACCTTCACCAGCACAACCAGCTTCGAATTCCTCGGCAGGTAACTCGACGCCAGACTCGACTCCCGCGACAGACAGCACAACACCAGCTTCGACCCCAGAGACCGCACCAGCAGATGCCAAGCCTGTTCAGACGCCAGCGGCAGACGCCACAAATGGAGCGAGCGCACAGCCAGCAACAGCTACGCCTGCGAAGAGACCAGTGCCAGTAAGGAGATCAGTGCCCTTCCCCAAGAAGCCATTCCCGGCAAAGAGGCCCGCCGCACCCAGTCACCAGTCCCCGGCGCCACGGCATCCGGAGCCCGCAGCTGTCGACAAGGCGGAACGCAGTGAAGCCCAGGCTCCTTCCCGGTCCCCGCCCCCAGGCAGACCCTTCCCCTCGAAGGATCTGCTGCAGCAGGAGGTCCGGGCCCCCACAAGCCCCATGAAGAACACCTACGAGGCCAGGACCGTCACCGTCTCCCACCCCAAGGAGCACGCGACCGCCAACGACATCGACGTGCCCTGGGACGCCAGCTTCCACGGCATCTCCACCCGGCCCGTGACCGCGGGGCAGTTCAAGGTCCTGATGCGGCCCATTGACGAGGAGGACATCGAGGTCAAGCCCGACGGCATCATCTACCTCCCCGAGATCAAGTACAGGCGGCGGCTGAACGAGGCCTTTGGCCCAATGGGTTGGGGTATGATCCCCAAGAGCGACCCAATAATCAACGGGCCTATGGTGACCCGGGAGTACGCTCTTATTGTCGACGGCCGGTAAGTACATCCTCTTGGCCGAGATGGGAAACTCGGACTGACACTGAAATACCACAGATTCGTCTCCCAAGCGCAGGGCGAAAACCACTTCTACAACGACGAAGGCATTCCCTCAGCGGTCGAAGGCTGCAAGTCGAACGCCCTGATGCGATGCTGCAAGGATCTGGGCATCGCGTCCGACCTCTGGGACCCTCGATTCATCCGATATTTCAAGAAGGAGAAGATGGAGGAGGTCTGGGTCGAGCACCAGGTCACCAAGAAGAAGCGGGTGCTGTGGTTCAAGAAGGGCCAAGTCGAAGTGGCGTATCCCTTCAAGCGAACTTGAGGGGGCAGTCCTGGATGGATATAGACTCGAGTTGGAAAAAAAAAAAGGTACGACACAGCGGGATAACTGTAAAAATAGAGGGGCGATTTGGTAGGTCTATTGTACGATATTAATAGATGGGAAAGACCGCCACTGTACACGAGATACCGGACTAGCTATCAAGAATAAGCGAGTTTCTGTATATAATCCCGTTGGACTGGACTTGCTGCGCCTGAATCAGAACAACCAACGATGCCGCCAGACCGCCTAGGCCACTTTGTCCTGCTACAAGGAATGATGCCCAATGACGCCGTGTAAAGCCTGTGAGGATCCGTCTACCCTTAACAAAACGAGCACGCCAAACAAGACCTATTCCCCGACAATTCGTTTCTCGCAGGTGGGGGTGGCCGTTCTACTTCTCTACACCAGAGCTGGTTCCAGGTTCAGAGCCGGCGCCCCAGCCCCAGGGCACCCAAGAGCCTGCTCTGCTACCGGGCGTGTTTCGCTTCCGGATGGAGCTCTCATCTTCCGCGCCACTCTCCGCCTCGATCTTCTCGAAGTCGGCCTCGCTGCGGCTCTTGTTAAGACCGCCCCAGATGCCGCCTCCGACTCGCTGGGTGGGCTCATCGTCACCACCGTCCATGCTCATTGAGGAGGGGCGCTCAGCGGCCTGGTTTTGAAGAGCTAGCGCCTCCTGATCGAGCGCGGAGAGAAGGGTATTCAGGCGCTCGCGCTGGATCTCGATAAAGCTCATCTTCTCGCCTGATGACTTCAGGTCTGATGGGATGAGTCTATCTCTAGGAATAGAACCCCCGCTGGCGTTTCCGGCAGCGGCGCCCGAAGCAGCCGCGACGGCCCCGGCGAGTATACTGTAGATGTCGGTCCCTGCCGTGGCGGATCCCGTCCATCTAGCTGTGGGAACACTAAACCGAGCAAGGAGAGACTGGGTGTAACTCTGCGGGCCGGTCGGTTCTGGGGTTGGCGGGGTTGGCTCGGTGGGTGGAAGACCGAGGATTTTGGTCTTGATGTACTCGATGGCATTTTTGAGGTAGGCTATGCCTGCGGTCTTGAGGCGCTCGTGCGCACTGGCAATGAACTCGTCGATATGGCCCTCGTTGTCCTCGAGGAAAGGGTGGACATATCTTTCGTAGAGCTCGCGCGCGCCTTGGGTTTGCGGTAGGATCAGGTAGAGGAGGAAGAGGAGGCGGATGTATCCGTAGAAGGGGATCCTGTTGATTGGGGTTTAGTTAGCGGGGTGGGATGAGATGAGGCAAGCTGTGCGACCCAGATGAAACTAGAGTCAAGTCTGGTAGACAGATCAAGATCGAGTTGCTTTTGTCAAACGTACCATACGAGGATGAATGACACCCAGGATTCAGCCAGCAAGCAGCAGCTGAAGACGACCCAGTACATGAGCCATGGTGTCAACTGGGCGGGATCGGAGGTCTTGAGAGCTTTGTAGGATGCGAAGATGGGGAACAGAAAGGACGCGACAGATCTAAGTTGTGCGCTCGCGCAAGCAGGCGCGATAATGTCAGTATGCGCTCGCAGACGGCTGGGTGGTGACAGTGACGTTGGTGTGGTGGGCGCACGCCGCCATGGCGGGGCATGTTGGAGGGTCGTGTGGGCGGACTTACGATAAGAGCATGGGCAAGAGGTCGAACATGGCTGCGGAATCTGAGGAGGCACAGGCCTCGGCGTCGCCAACTCGGTGAATGGATGTGAGCGATGCTAAGCTAGAGACGAGGAAATCCAAGAGCGGGATTTCACATCAAAGAAGAATAAGAAGGCATTGGAGACGCAGAGTGATAAGTAGGAGGCGGATGTCAGGAACAAACTACCCCCCTCGCAAACAGATTAGCGTTCAGCTAAGCCTAGCAGCAAGGCCTGGTGACGGTGGGACGTGATTTTCGGGTCCCCGCAGCGGGCGGGTGGTGAGTGGAACGCTGGAATGGGTGCTAATAGGCCGAGCAGCTGGGTGCCGCAGGGCTGCTGTGCATGGTGAGCAGCGCGTTTTGGGTACGAGGTGCTTTATCGGTGGGAGGGGCTGGTTATCACCCGCGCTGTCGGGCGCGCGTGACATTGAGGGGCAACTCACGAGTGCTGGCGATGATGGAATGCGCGGCTAGGAGCGGGTCTTATTGGACCTACACGGTGGCGGGCTGTGTGATGAGGAAGAGCAGGCAAATGAGGCTCGTGAGGCTCTAAGTCGTCATGGGAGAGAGCACCAACGATGAGTGGCCATCAGGCTCGCCCGTCTCGACTTTTAAGGTTCCCTCTCAATGAGGCCAGGTATGAGATCAGCACCTAAACCACCTCTGCGGAGACGTAGCTCCAGCAGGTGCCTAACGCTCTTCATTGCCCCAATGACACACGCCTACCTGCTGCCCGCTTTCGCGGATACCTACATGTCCCCATGCTGGGTGCCTAATCGCAACACCGTATTCATTCACTAACTGGTAGACGTGTCTCATATCTGTCATGTACGAGAACTCAACCAGTCTTGGACCAGTGACAAGTGTCCTTTCAAACTCCAGTCGCCTGTGATATTACAGCAGGCTCTGCATAAACAATACATGCGGTGGCCCGGCCATGCCCCAGTTGGGCTCACCAGCATCTTGGTGTCCAAATTGGCAGGGAAGGAGCCTTTGACTCAGATGTTCGGTGCCACTTTCTCTCTCAATGCCAGCCAAGAGTTCCTCATCAGTCATTGAAATGGGACATTCACACTACGTCTTACCCTGAAGGATGACGAATTGCTTCAGCTATGGGTAGATAACATAGAAAAAAGGTTTATGATTGCGTGTAAACTGTTCAATTATATTATCGAATTACCTATCTAATATGTTGTGAACCTTTAGTAGCTCTTGGTTGCATATGAGGCTTTCGACAGAGCCTCAGTCAATACTTTCACCGGCTCATCAACCTTTTCTATCACTTTCCATGCAACAACTCCATCAGGGCGAACCAATGCTGCTCCATTTTCGTTCAGCCCGTAGACGTCGTTGAAGCTCCCCTCAACCTCTTCCACAATATCCCTCCCAATACAAGCAAATTCAACGGTTATTCCAAGACTCTTCGCTACTAACTCAACTGGCTCCTTCCACTCATCATCACTTGAAATCACCACCCATTCGGTGCCGAAAAGATCAAGTGTTGAGATTGTCTCACCGTCCTTTCGCAGAGAGACATGTGCTGCCCTTGTGCCGGGCTGGGCCTTCCATCCAGTGGGGACCTTGGCAAGGGGGAGGCTTTCACCCGATCCGAGAATACCATTTGAGTGATAGATCTGGCCAAATTCCAAAGCGTTATCGTCCAGGATTTCTGCGTCCTTGCCAGGCCACTCTAGGTCCTTTGCATACCGCCGGTAGTCCTGTCGAGCGAAGATTTGATCATGTCGGACAACGGCGACAGGCTGACGCTCTTGGGTGTATGTCTCCAGGATCTCTGTTCGGGACTTGCCCTGCAGGACAGAGGCTAACTTCCAAGCCAGATTGTGGACATCGGCAATGCCAGTGTTGGCACCGAAGCCAGCGCGGTTTGGAGGCAATGCGTGGACTGCATCGCCAGCAAGGAAAACTCTCCCGGAAGAGTACTCGTCGGCAACCAAACCACCAATGTCCCACTGACCAGTAGTGATGAATTCGACGTCATCAACTGTAAGGTCAGGAAGCCCAGTGGCCTTTCGAATCAGGCCCAATTTCGTCTCAGCACTATCGATGTCTTCAGTCCCGTCACTCCACGCCAGCATCCAGCGACCCTCACCGTAGGTGGTCATGAAGGCTTCGAATTCCCCATTCTGGATTTGGAACTGGGAGTAGCCATGGTCAAGATAATGGTTGATACGGGGGCACTTGAATAGGATGCTCCGCAGGGCCCTTAGGATACCAACTCCCTGGCGTTTGATGCCGAGTTTTTCTCGAACTGGGCTGCGTGCCCCATCACACGCCACGAGATACTGGCCTCGCAGCGAGTACTCAGTTCCGTCGGGATTCGTCGCCGTCACTGTGACGCCTTGGTCATCCTGGGTCCAGTCCAGCACCTTGTGACCCAGCCTGAGCTCGGCACCAAGCCTCGTAGCATGAGTCCGGAGGACGGGCTCGATGATGTCTTGAGCAACGGCAACTCCCTGGACGTGAGAGTAGACTGGACCCGGGGGAGGGCCCCTAGGAGCTTCTTTGGTCCCTGCCTCACTGGTGGGAGGTGCAGATGCAGTTTTCTTTTCGGTCCAAGCCACCTCGTTCTCCCACTTTCCGGAGAGACTTTCGACAACGACCCGCTTTGGTGGACCGCCTTTCCACATGATGCCCTTGAGATCGTCAGATGCGCCGACCGTCTTCAGAAACTCGATGGTCCGAGCCGTATAACCGACCGCCCGAGGATGAAGGGCGCTCGAGGGGTGTCGCTCGAGGACAACCACGGGGACTTTCCAGTGCGAGAGAAAGAGCGCGGCAGACAGGCCGACAAGGCTGCCGCCTATCACAATGACTGGATAATCATGATGCTGTGCCATGATTGAGGTGTAAGAATTAAAGGATTAAAAGCAGTTGGGTGAAGTCTTGTTCCTGGTCGTATAAGCAGTTCTCTATCGGTTGATTGACTGCTTACTTGCTTCTTCATTTCTCAGCGATTGAATGCGACGACATGCAGACGCTTTTATAATGCGAAAAACTCAAGGTTTGGTTTTGCGATACCGACAAGTGATATGGTCTGTATTCCATCCCGGGAAGTAGTGACGTCCGGGCGAGATCTCCCAGCAGTTGGAATCGGCCATTACTCCACTGCCGGGGTTCCAATCGGGCTGGTGGAGCCTTTGGTGATGGCTTCGGTCCCGACAGCCCGCCTGGCTGCCCGGATCGGGCAATTGATCTGTAGGAAGTCTTCCGTTACGGTTTGCATCTTCCCAGAGGAGATTGGATATAAATCCACTAATGTAAAGACGACTCTTCGGGTTTCTCTTCAAACGGCTTAGACAAGAACATCATGACCTACTGGATGAATCCAGACCCGCCTTCACAAGGGCATTTGAATTCCCCGTGTCGTGAGTCTCCAACCTACATGTATATGGCAGCTTCAAACCAATGTATGTTAGATTTTCGTATGATTCATCACGAATGGCGACTTGTGATAATCCATAAATGGAACAGTTTTTAAATTGCGTTATTATTAGTTTGACTCTGAAAACAGCATTACTACATCAAATCATCACCATATCACCACATCACTCTCAAAGCTGATCAATACCAGCCTTATTCTGCCTTCGTCCTCCGGCCCCGGGAAGGAAGTCATGTCCAGGGTATTCCTACTCATAAGCTCATGTGTACACCCCCCTCATTAGTCCTCTTTGACACTCCACCAACGTTGAAACATTAGGTCTGAGACGTGGCTGGTAGATGTGCACAACCCAAACTGCGCCGTACTAGACTGCAGTGGTTGTTCCGTTGGCCCCATTGGCGGTTGTGGGCTGGGCGTCAACGCCATTTCCCACTCCATCTATGCCGCTGGCATGGTAGTCTCCCTTCTCGCGGAGAACAGGGCGGCCGGCCTCCGTGGTGTTTAGACCCAGGCTCTCGAAGCTGATGTTTCGATGGCCCCAGAGAAGAAGGAACGGGAAGACGACCTTGGCGAGGAGGTCCAGAATGCCGTAGAAGATGGCCTCGGAGTCTGGGTGGATGACATTGCCGCCTTCGGAGCAACCGAAGGCGATGGGGTACAGAAGAAGGGTGGTGATGAGGACAATGCCAGAGATGTTGTAGGTGGTTCTGACGGTTCCCCCGACATTGTTCGCACCACGACGTCCAACGATGAGTACAGAGTAGGCGACATATAGGAACGCAGCAACACCAAAGGTCCAGAATCCCCATTTGTAGGTGGTCTGAGTAAGTGCACCAAGCAAGTAGCAGACGACCATGGCCTCGTCAACCAGTATGACAGCCAGCAGAGTAGACCAGGAGACGCTTGCCGTAAGGAGGAGTGCCGAGAGAAGGAGAGGCGTGGTGATGAACCAGTCGATGTAGCGAGCATAGAAGATCTCTCGAGTACCGGCAGCCACCACCTTGCCTCCCCGGACGAACTCGACCTGAATGGGAACCTGTCCCAGGTTCGAGCCCACGGCGAAGTTGGAGACGCAGCCGACGAAGAGCGCAACCATGATTAGCTGATGGAACAGCCTTTGGTGTGCCGGGCGTGTAAAGGAATGGCCAATGACTGCCAGACAGCACGCGCCCATTATGGAACAGACTGTGAAGATCCAGTCTGAGCCTCGTACGGTGATGCCGAGGTCAGGCTGTTCGAACACGCTGTTCACGTCGAGTGCTTTGTTCCCCATGATGTGGATATAAGAGTGTATCAGGATGAGTTTTAGATGTAGAACTGCCCAATCGAGCTCAGGTTTGCTTGTCTGCCTGTGACGATGCACACAACCATTCCATTCCTCATCCGCATCCCATCCAGACTATATAGTTTTCCATTACATGCCAAGATATCTCTATTGAAGCTCTAGAACTGCGCAGATGTGGTCATCGTCCAGGGTAGATGCTACCCAGGAAGCTTCGGAAGTTTTGTCTTGTGATGCGATGCAACCCGGAAGCCGGACTTGGGCCCCATTGTCACGCCACGTCGACCGTTGTGGATCGACTCGCGACGATGTTGGAGCTGTGAAAATGAAGCTATCACAGGGCCACACGCCCAGTGTTGTTGATGCCGGAAAGGCCGGACGTGACATCCCCCGCAATTTTAAGATGCTGGGCCGGCCTGATGGTGTGTAGCAGCAACCCTAAACAAAGCCCGAGAAATGCCGACGTCTTCTCTTTGGCCGGTTTGACAGGCATTCTAGCGTATAGAAGGCTGTCGGTGACAAGCTGGGGCCAGCTGCAGCTTCTGGCGGTGACGTCGATCCATGGATCCCGTCCATGTAAGTCTCGGTGAAGATCGAGAGAATTAACGATGGAGGCCTTGATATATTTTAAAATATTTACTAATTGACTATCTTATACTTCTAATTGGCTTTCCAAGTCTTTAGAAGGTGGTATCAGGCGGGAACAGTGCAGTTCTCATCACATCTCTTCTCGTTGACAAGGCTGACGGCATCTTGGGAGCTGCCCAAACTTCAAAATTCTTCTCTTGATGTTACGCCAGAATCCATGCAGCGATCCGACTTGCCGGCAAACATCCCGGGGTCACGGGTCACACGATACTCAGCCGGCCGGGATTGTCGGTAGCATCATGCATCGGTCATCCAAGGAAATGGAGTGAGGCATGATCCTGCTCCAAAGAATCCATTAGTCAAGTATTCGGCCTTCATCTCATTTGCTATCTCCATGAAGCACTAGGAAAATGAAGAGGCCAAATCTATTGAGCAAAGCATTCTCAAACCCATCTACCTAATCAGGGCTGGCTGATTGAGAGGGCGAAGTCTGCCCTCCTGTCTCATATGGTCGGCCTATCCTCATTCCACCCTGCCCGCGAAAACAAAGCCCACACACACGCAAAATTCCTTGGCTCTGACGATCCCTCTGAACCATCTCGATCGCCCTTTGTAATTAGAAGCTCGAGGAGGGGAAGTTTGGCATTTTTCTGCCGAATTTTAGCACCTTTCACCGTCTTCACGGCACGTGGAAGCTCCCCACTTGTGTGAAAGAAATTGACCACTCAATGCATATGAGAGACGTGGAGCCAGGATCAAGTCACAAGGGAAGGAGAATTCTCGGTGTGTTGGTTACATCCATAGAAAGCGTGTTACTTAATAATGGATGTGAAGGGTGACTCAACTCCCGTTATGCTTTCAAATGGGTCATTGGAATTGCACATTTCAAGGCTGGGATCGAATTCTAGCTTTCATTTCATTGGTTCGGCATCTGCTTCCGTTGGTCATTGTATAAACGATGGCCGTGATAAACTAATTCTTCTACGCGTAAAACGGAGGAGCCTTCTCTCTGAAAGCGCATTTATATTGATATAACAGAAGCAAATCCTCTAATTTTCAATCATGATAAAGATACATATATGTTGTATTATAAGATTAGCTATTCACTATTAGTTATCTTGTCTTCTAATGTTGTGATCAGTTCGAGGACAAATGGGATCCAATGAATTCATAATTCTCGTCCATACCCACTTCTACAGCCAAATCTGCCTCCTAGAAACACTTTTCCTCCCTCTAGTATTCATTCATCCTTTTGTCTCAACCACTCACTCACCCCGGATTTGGACCCTCATATCGCACTTCGGCACGGCCTCGCGAGTATGGGAAATTTGATTACAAGGTCTTCGATACGTTACAGCTAGTAGCCGCAAATTTCTTTGCTAGTAGTATAACGCTGTGAAAGGATTGTTTCTACGTTCTCCACATGCCACCGACAACCGAGCCTCTCGCCCCAGCCGTCACCCCCTTGAGTTAGTATGTCTCATAGGACGGACCAACCTTGCGTGCTGGAACTCAGTACTGAGCTGAAGGCCACAGGATCGACGTGGGATCTAGGAATTCTGCGAGCAACCCACAGTCCGGCAGCTATCCGTTGCTGACAATCAAGCTAAAGCAGATATCAGATAAACAACGAGATGTGAGAGCGTATATACTGAAAATTCAAAAGCAAGTCTAATAACAAATCTATCTAGTTCGGCCACCAAGAAACCATCATCATACCAGAGTCTGGCGGCACTGGTCAAAGCTCTGACAATACATTTTGCCATCTCGCGGGACCGTTTCCCCTTCATTCAATGGACTTATCCCTCATCGAGTGGAAATTTTCTTTGGCCTGAGTTATCTTAATCTGCATTTCTGTGTTCAGCTGTGCCTCAGGGGTAAACAAACCATGGCTGTCTTGCAACCGCCTATGCCTGGAATTCTGGGAAATTTTGGGTCGTGGCAGATCGAGAAGGAGAAAACACTCATGGCTTCCTGCGTGCTTGCTGGTCCTTTTCCTCCGAGAGTGGCCCTTGACTAACATGACTGGCTACCGAGGGCGATGTGTGAGACAGCTTACTGGGAGAATGGAGGCTATTTGCCTTTCCCCCTAGACAGCATTCTTCACACACAACGGAGGGCGCCACTGTCTCATTATCCCAGATGCCCAAACTCCATACGAACGTTTTCGCGCTCGGATGTGCATTCGTCGCCAATTCCTTGCGGGCAAGGACTGAAAATATGGTCAGGGTGAACCAAAGCGCGTGTCGTTGCTTGGGTTTCCAGAAGTATAAATCAACTCTTCCATCCCGTGGTCATCGGTTTCTTTTTTCTCATCAGCAACAATCAGCACTCTCGGCTTCATTCGTTTGAGCTTTTCCGAGTTTTCTTAGTTAGGTCGGTCTTTTCTACTTCTATTCACTCTTTTAAGAACGGATTCTATCATGTTTTTCGCTCCCCTTCTGGCTCTGGGCCTGAGCAGTGTTGCTCTCGCCCAGAACAACACGGCTATCCCCAGCGTCCCTGGGCCTGCGGTGACTCCCCCTCCGACAACCCCCAACCCCAGCAATGGCTTCCCTGCTCGCGTCGGCGACTACCAATTCTACGGATGCGTGGGATCTTCCAAGAACTTCCCCACCTTCGAGAAGATTGGCACCAACCCGCAGATGGACCTTGAGCTCTGCGCTGCAAGCTGTGGATCCCGCTTCTTCGGTGTTGCTGGAACGTAAGTTACTCCTGCTACTCATAGGTGATCTTATTCAGTTCAAATGCTTACTCTCTCTATTCAGTGACTGCTGGTGTGGCAAGGACATTGACAGCGTTGGCACTGCCCGCGTTCCCAACAACGTCTGCTCCATCCCCTGCCCCGGCAACCCACAGCAATACTGTGGTAGCCTCGTTGGTCTCCAGCGTCGCCAGTTTGTTCCCAACCTTGTCTACCTGACTGTCTACATCCGTGTTGAGGGCATGGAGGGTGGCTTTGTCACTACTACCACCACCGCCACTGACACTACCACCACCACCGCCACTGCCACAACCACCGTCATCAGCGGCACGACCATCACTGACACCGTCACCACCACTTTCGCGACCACCGTCACTCCTTACCCCCCTCACCCAACCTACGAGCCCTACCCTGGCAGAGTCATCATCTGCTACGGTGACTACTGTCTTCCTCAGGGACCCTGCAAGAGCGGTCACTGCGAGCGCGAGCGTATTGTCTGCAAGGACGAGCACTGCTTCCCCGAGACCTGCAAGGACGACAAGTGGAACAGACTCGTTGAGTGCAAGGGCGACAAGTGCCACTACCCCGAGTGCAAGGGCGAGGAATGCAAGAAGAAGGTTACCTGCTACGACGGAAAGTGCATCAAGGAGAAGTGCTTCGGTGACGAGTGCGAGAAGAAGGTCGTCTGCCACGGCGAGGAGTGCCACCACAAGCCTTGCAAGGGTGAGGAGTGCTACCGCAAGGAGGAGTGCCACGGCGAGAAGTGCAAGCCCGTCCCCCACTGCAAGGAGAACTGCCCCGTTCCCAAGCCTCCCGTCTTCCCTCCTCCCTGCAAGGGCGACTGCAAGCCCAGACCTCCTCCTTGCAACGGTCCTCACTGCCCTCCTCCTCACCCTCCTTGCAACGGCGACAAGTGCCCTCCCCCTCCTTGCCACGGTGACAAGTGCCTTATCCCTCCTCCTCACCACGAGAAGTACCCTTGCCACGGCGACAAGTGCCCTCCTCCTCCCTGCCATGGCGAGGAGTGCCCCCCTCCTCCTTGCCACGGTGAGAAGTGCCCTCCCCCTCACCACGAGAAGTACCCTTGCCACGGCGACAAGTGCCCTCCTCCTTGCGAGGGTCCTCACTGCCCTCCTCCTCACAAGACCACCCCTCACCACGGCAAGCCCACTCCCGCTCCTCCTTGCTACGGCGAGAAGTGCCCCCCTCCTTGCGAGGGCCCTTACTGCCCCTCCCCCACCGGAGTGGCCCCTCCCGTCAAGACCCCCATCATCGCCGGCTCCGAGAAGGTTCTCCCTGCTCTGGGTCTCGGCGCCATCGCCGGTCTGGCTTTCTTCCTGTAAGGGACAGCTTTGAGACGGAAAATCGCTCAGGATAGCGACAATGTACTTCGCCTTTGGTTACTGTTCAATCACATCTTGGCAAGCCCGACCTAATCTTCAGAGGAAGGAAACGGGGAATGGATAATTGAGATGCGGGATGACGATAATATAGGGAAGCCAATTTTTTTCTCTTCTTTTAAACGACTTTGTTAGTAGGTAGTTTTTGGATACTTAGGTAGTATCGGATTTTTCAATTTATTGATTTGCATCAACTCATTTTCTCTGCTTCCATCGTGACTTGATGCCATATGAATCGTGAGATGAACAATTTCCCATCCAAAGTAAGCAACTCGTGGTTCAAAGGACATCCAAGTCTTTGAGTCCGAAATTTTCTAGAAAAACTAAAAAGTAATAGCAGGAGACTTTGAAACAGCCCGCGAGTGTAAGTTAGGGATATTCAGAACCTGACCTCTTATCTTGTTCTTTGACGGTCTTATGCAACTTGGGGCTAGCTAGCTCTACAGGCAATTCTTCAAGCTCTAACCAACTAGAAACACATCCTCGGGTATTCTTGCTTTAAAGTACGCATTCATTCTTGATCAGCGTGAAGCCAAGTGGTTAGTCTAGCCAACAAATGGGCTTTCGCTATACAGCACACAAGGTGAGAAAACTCGCTTTGTTCACAGCCCTTGTGTTTCTCACAGCCAGCTCAATAGATCGTAAGATTATTTTGTCCCGGAGATGCATTGGGGTCTAGTATAAACGACTACCTTGATTTCATCATCATGGCTAGCATCATCTCCCTCATATATCCCCAAAATTAAGCCTGAAGTCTACAGAAACTTCCAAGCTTTCGCAGTAAGTTGTACATTACAACAGCAATTTATCCCCCAACACAAGCCGACACAGAGCCTGAGGATGTATGTTAGAAATAGCTGGTTTAAGCCCAACCAGGCAGCCGGCGAGGCCGTTCTCCGAGCTATCCTTCCATTTTTGCGTCCATGCGAACCTTTTCCCGGTCAAGCTAATGCAGCAGTGCTATAGCATACTGGAGCACTCGGACAGGCGATTGAAGTTATGGTCTCAGAGCCTGACGTCCAGACAATAGCGTAAGGACGTCCTATCTAAGCAAGCCCACGAGCTAGTAATTGACGCCCCTTCCAGACTTCTCGTCCTATCAGCCGAATAATTGCATGCAACCACTAGGGATATTGTAATAGGAGAGCGATCTCGAACATAAGACACTCCCTCGCTTGCTACTGGGTATTCTCAAGCTCTGCCTCCACCCTGAAAGCCCAGGTCTTGTTCACCGATGAGCAAAAGGGATCCTACGACCAGGTGCCCAAAAGTTCCGAAATCTGCCATAATATGGCGGCGTGCTTGCTGCTCGTCAATTCAGTCAGGGATGTTGACTCCGTCACATCTGCCCAACAATGTATGCACACTAGCAAGTCCGGTGGCTTGCATGACAATGGTGGCTCCAGCCAGTGAGTGGCATTTGCCAAGGATCTAGGCGCGATTCATATTGGTGCATCCATTGAGGAACCAATCTCCCCGTGCTTCGTTGCAGTCTCGATCAACATGGCCACATCACAGCTCACCCGTATGGGATCAGGTCAGCTCACAGCTGTCCGTAGGATCCTGCATATCAGCCCTCGCACCAGCTACCAGAGCGGGAAAAGACATCTGGGGCTCGAACAGGTAACCTACCAACGCGAGACTCCTTCTCCCGGCACATGCAGGAAAGGGTAGGTTGGGTGCAACAGGGAAGGGTGCACGGAGGGTGGGGAGTCACCCTGACAAGCGGCATGGAGCGCAGTTAGCGAAGCGATACTCGTACCAGACTGTTGGGATATTTGGATAGCTGTCAGCCGGTCTGTGGGATGCTGCGCTGCTGCGACGCACCGTTTCTGGCGCCCTGCATTGCTTTGGACCTTGGCATGATCCCATACTATACAGTACATCAATAACGGCACACGCATGTGCCGAGCTTGTGGATGCATTTCAATGCCGGACAAGACATGCAGACATAAAGTGTGGATTCTCTGGAGGGAACAATGGAAGGAACTGACGGCTGCGTCACCCACCGGCGGTTTGGTGGTTGCGGTGAGGCCCAGCTGAATTGAAGGAAGGACCATCTCGTCATGCTGGAGTCCAAGATTGGCGTCGACAACGCTGTAAACATGCAGGCATGGGTGGTTGCATGCCTGCAGAGAGCCTAGAGGAGCAGCTGCTGGCAATCCAATGCCAGTATGTATTGCAACCCATCGCAGCTCTCACGACCGGATTGCGAATTATTAATTACCTGTACGAAGCGGTACCTCTGGCCCGCGGTGCTGTCAGCGGCTTTCCAGCGGTAAATTCGTACCGGCCAAGTACGTAGCGCTGTGGGATGCCCGGAATGTCATCCGCCAACCGTTTTTTCGGGGGATATACAGGGGGTGTGGGCCGCTAGCCGCATAATCTACCTTAGCAGGCTCTCCGCCCGTCCATCCCTCCCTCGCTCCTCCCCTCCCTCCATCCCATCGCCCATCCCGGCCAGCGTTCGCTAAGCTTAGTTGGAACCTGGGGGCCGGCCGTCTCGTCGCTTTGCCCATTTCTGTTTCGCGTTCCGCAAGCCTGGTCTGGCTGGGAAGAAAATCCGCCAGTCAGGTTGTCCAGATACAGGTCCCTCGAGCCCCCGTCACAGGAAGAAACAACGGGCGTTCCCGAAACATGTCATCGGAACAGACTAATGCCTTGGGGCTCCGGGCGGGCAGATTTCAGTCTCCTGAGCCTCCACAGCTGCGCGACAACAGCTAAGCACTACGGCAGCTTTAAGTTTCGCATTTTGAGCGCGTTTACTTGCTTTTTGTGCAGCGTTGTATCGCGCCGTTTATTCCCCCTATTGTCTCCTCTTTTCTTCTTTTCCCTGATCCAACCTACTCCCCAATCAGCTGCAGATCCGTTGTCCCGCCTTCGGCTGCCGCACATTGATCAACGTTTTCTTACCTAGACTGATACAGCCCGGGATTTCCTAGTCTCCAATTCCTCTAGACCATGGACGAGAAATTAATCAATTAGTCGTCAGCTTCCGTGTCCACGGTTCACCCCTCGGTCCACGGAAGAGCACCAAGCTTGGCTCGGGGAAATACCTGGCCGTCGTACCAACTCTCTGGGATGGTATGGTGCTGTTGGTGGTGGTGGGCCGTGGTTCGGGCAGCCGCAGCTTGGCAAGCAAGGATGCACCGGCACCAGAAGACCAGGGAGGTAGCTTGTGTCAAAAAACCCCGGAGACGGCGCTCGTCAGCGAACCAAATGCTCGGGTCCCCAAGGAATCGTGTGGGCTCTCAGCAACCTTTTGGCTCTGTAGGTGCCACGATGTTCAGCACCATTGGGCGACGCCTGGTTTAGCGCACGACTCGGGGCTTCGTATTAGGTTTACCTTGGTCAGAAGATTAAAATTAGTCGCAGCAAATGCCTCAGCATCTGGTCCAGTTCGATACCAACAGCCCGGTTCTTTCGCCGAGCCTTTGACTCCCTCCGTCGGGTCCGACGAGACTAAATCAGGCAGGCTCTGCAAGACAACTAGGTGTTGGTGGAATCCCGCCCACTACTATTTCAGCTTGGCAGCTTGGCCACCAACAGAGCACGTTTCGAGTGTCACATGCTTGGGGTGTATCTCTGACTGTCCAACAAGTGAAGTGTGCTGTTGGTGTTCTGGCCACGAGGTTGGAGGCCGTCCTTTCTATCAATGGGAAAACTCTAACACAGCTTCGTCAATGCAAGTGCACACGACACTACCCTCCCTACCTTTGGAGGGGTGCTAACGTCCCGCGCCATCGGCTCTCGAATGCTTATCACCGTGCAGGCCGCTGGGGAAAGCACAGAATCATCCATACATTGCAAATCGGCCAGGGCCACGTTGGCATCTGGGCAATTAAAAGATCCACCGAGGGAGGGGTATATCGCTGCAGCTTTATAATTAATACGACGACAAGCCTCTCAGGATAAACACGACCCTAGGCTTAGGACAGCAGGACTTCGTAGCCTACCCATGGCATCTGCAATCTGCGTGTACAACGGTGTCCGCGCTTTGATCCCCTGCCGGGGAGATGGTGCCCACTTCATGCAAGTGGTGCTACCATCTAATGCCTGCTGTAGTCAGCCTCTCTCCGCCAGCTCTTGGGACACTTTTACCGACAGACTGGCTCCAGGTATCATCCGAGATTGACAGTCAGCAAACCGCCAGTCAGCCCTTGTCATGTATTGTCCCCGTAGACAGTCGCAACGGGAAGAAGCCATAAAGAGCAAACCGGGAGAAGGGAGTTGTGGGCTACACGTTGAAACACAATGTATCCCCATTGGCTCGGAGAGGGCTTTTTATCACAAATGATATATGCAAGAAAGATTTAGTGACCTCGGAAACCCAAATAGAAGCATTGGGTATTCCCATTGTTTCCAGAAAGCCTCACCCATTGTTGGCCAGTGCATTAGACCGACACCTACCTACTCGCTAAATAACCACCACTACGTCCAATACTACGTCCACCATCTTACAATTGACCTGCACATTGCCCAAAAGGTTTAAATCTGCCATAATACACACACGGTGCCATTCATCAAGTTGGCCATGTAAGGATGCCCCCCTCATCGCATGAACACCATCGCGATATAGGGTAGATTTGTGTCGTGGAAACGAACCGTCGCTTGCATAACGGCGCCTAGCCAGTTAGCCAGTTTAGTAACAATTGGCAAGGATCTGGGTCCAAGGCGTCTGACCATCCTCCAATTGTTAGTCCGTCCCGTGCTCTGGGTTGGCCTCGATCAATAAGGCCGCATCGCATGGCTGTACGATGCAGCACAAGCAAGCCCTTCTCCAGTTTTGTTGGTCAGAAGTTCATAACCGAGCCAGCTGTGGAGTGAGGCACAGCGTCCTCGCAACGGCCTTTCAGCGCCTTGAGCGCCTACCTCAGTACGCCCATAGTAGTGTGGCTTGAGCCCGCTGCTGGGATCAGGGTATTATGTCGCCAGCG